TATAGTGCTGGAGTATTCTCAGAAATATTAACTTTCTTCTTTGTTGCAGAACCAGTATCAACATAAGAAATATCGACGGCATACACATATAAATCCTTTTCAATAATCTCCATTTGCCCTACAACAAAAAGCACTGATTCATGTAATCGAGTAGAATTCATTAAATGTTTGAATCAAGAATTATGGTGTGGAAAAACAACTTTGATCGTAAAACTGTAAATTTGCCTGGCATAATCATTTACTAATACATTAAGTATTGCGTTTTCACGATTAATCTCTTTAGGTGCATCCTGAGCAACACCAACAAGCGAAACTTTTAATGGACACCTATTTGAACCGAAATCTTTTTTAATTGAAAGGTGAGTTGAGGATGCAACAGTCATCTAGATTTAAAAAATTTAATAATAGTTCGAAAATTATAACGCATACAACTAAATATACAAACTTTTAATCTTAAATTTCCATTGTAAGATCCAAGCACGATTTTTCCGCCAACACAATAATACTCATTTGTTTCAAAAATCGATTGTGAATTAGGATCTCTCTCTTCATCATTCATCGGAATAAATAAAGTAATATCCAATTCGCAATCCTCACTCTCAATAGGATAAACACCAACTGCCTGTACGGCAAACAATTTTAAATCCTCGTTGCAAGTTTGACGAACCTAATTCACTTTAACGATAGTATCAGTATAACAAGGCATCATGAACAACTAAACAACAAAATTAACTTATTTTTTGCGTATTGAAAAATAACTGCCAATATTTATTTGAATATAACAACAATAAATTACATCATATAAACTTCATATCTGAAGCAACATAAACCAAAAGATGTCACTTATAACAATTACCTTCCTATAAAAGAGATATGTATATATATAAAAAAAAAAAAAAAAAACTACCTTACTAATATTTTACAATAATATTCACACGAAAAAAAATATCGCAAAAAACTATCCTTAAACAAGATACTGATAATGCGTGTTTAAAAATTCGTTTAATGAAATATGGTCATTATTATTGCTCGATCGTAGACTTTAATGCTATAACAATGAAAATACATATAGGAAATAGATCAAATATCATATACTCGTAACTGTCCCTAGCTATTCAGAGATAACTTTACATTTCGACTCTAGTCCAAACAACAGGCTAACCAAGCCAGATCTATTTATTAAAATGCGCTATCGACAAATTCTAAATACACCTCACACCTTAATCTTGACATTAACACACTCCAATCACAAACAAGAACAACACTAGGTCAACAATACAAGAGAAAGAAACTTCATGGTTAGATAGCAATTAAATTAAAATCTCTTTGAATCACTGTACATTTCTTCCCGATCTGGTCCTTACACTGCTCTTGCAGCCTCAAAACCAATTTATCCAATCGTCGGTTCCTAGACCTTACACTAGTAGTTGCACTATTTCAAATCGCCGAGCTTCGTAAACAACGGGTATGAAAGGTGGGCCAATAAAGCTAGCCTATACCAAGGTAAATGATAACAAACAGAAGATAAACAAACAACTACCCGGCGTACTAATCCTAAATACTCTTAGCTGGTAACACACTCCCACCCTACGCATGATATTCATATGAATAGACACACATTATGACAACTAATTACAACATACTAACGCAACAATTATTTATTTCCTATTAAAGCAATACATTTAAGACAAACAAAATGCCTACAGACTACACTCATTAAGATACATAATGTCATAATGACAATATCCAAAAAAAGCTGTAATCGATCAACACGTGATCCGCAATACAGTCTACTAATCTCGCAATAATGACTGCTTTGTCACTTCGTTGACAAGCTTATCAAAACAAACAAATATAACAAAAAACAAAGTACAAAAAAATATTAAAAATACAACCAACAAAAAACCAACATTAAACTCCCATAAAAAAAGCACGAAACAAAAAAAAATAAAACTAAAAATAAAAATACTTACGCTAACACCAAACGGCTTTCAAAAAAAATTTACAAAAATATAAATCATAAAAACAAATTATAATAAAAAACACAACGTAAGCTTATCATAATTAACTAAGCGTAAAAACATAAATACCTTAATTAAATAAATTATACAAAACCATATAAATCAATAAACCATTAAACCTATTTCAAACAACAAAATTAAATAAAAAGAATATTAAACTATAAACACCTAAAAGAATAAACTAAATAAAAAAAAACCTGTCACAGGTGATCGGACTGGTCCAGCGCGTCATCGCATGTCGCGCAGCTACCTAATGTATTATACTTTGCCCTTTTTTTCTCTCAAGTTCGAAAAAAAGATATATAGTTTATTAATTATATCTGGCTTCGAGCAAGTATTGCGAGAAGACAGGTTAGAAGAAGAAATAAATTTTTATACCGGCTTTGGAGTAGATCTAAAGCTTGGGTATTATTTTTTCTATGAACGTTTGTAAATAAAATTTATATAAAGATTTGGTTGCACAGATAACGTATATGTCATGAGATTGTTGACCGAATTTGGGTTAGGGTACTATTTCGAGAAAAACTTAAAAATAGTACTTTTTACTCGTTCCACATGAGTTATGAATAATGATAAGCCTTGTAAGGTATTATAGTTCATATAAATTTATACATATGCGAAATTTATTCTAACATGTTATCGCATTTACATCACTTATATATTCTATCCACTACTTTTTTGCAGGTTTTGCAATATAGGTGTGAATGATGATTGCATTTGTCACAAACCTTACACTCATGCTTCCACCCTCTAAAGATATGTCACTTTTTGTAATGTTTTTGATTTTTTTTTATTTGTAAATATCGATATGTTATTCTGATTTTTCATTGTTATATTAACAGAAAAAAATACGTGGCTAAAATTTTACCGTTACATATCATAAAATGCTTAGGCCAGAAATATGTATATACCGGATGCAAATATTTTTATTTTTTTAAGAGAGTGTAACACTGGTGTCATGGTTACACCAGGCGCAGTAATAGGCGCAGTAAAATGTCATTTTGATTTTTTCGTAATGTTAAGTATTACATAATCGATATTTTTCTAACTTAATTTAAAAATAGATGACACATTAAAAGAACTAATTCTATCTATTTTATTTTCATCTATAGTATCAAAAAAATAATATATTTTCCAAGCTCGCTCTGTTTTTTTACGTAATACATCATCACTTATCTCTTTTGGGAGTTGGCTTCTAACTTCATCATTTACTAGAATTTGAGCAACTTGTTTTTTGTGATTTTTTTTATAGTATTTAAGACGTTTTTTAAGATCATGGCCAAAATTATAATAGGTTCTAATAACATTTTGAATGGCTTTTTTATTACCATCTTCAGCTTTTACAATCTGACGATATAAGTTAAGAAAATCAACTGACTCAGGATTATTTTCACCGGTAGGTACTGAACTTGACTGTGTAATAATATTTTCTGTAGAATCTAAATTTTCGGTAGTCAACTCATCAATTAATTTCTTTAGATTTGTAGGTTCTTTTTTTATACCTTCTTCACGTAATCTTTTTTTAGATTTTGGTTTAACAGTTTGGGTTCATTTTGTATAGTCTTGAAATAATAAGGGATCCAATAAGGTAGGGTTAGAAATATGTGTTGTATCTGAGGTTACTATATTCTGGCTCTAATCAGATGCTATTTGTGCCATTTGTGGCGAAATTTGTATTAGGTCCAAGGTACTTTGCTCAGAAGTGCCAGAATGCACATAATCAATAGATTCAATTTCCATTGCACATTTAGGGCATTGTGGGAGATCTTTTATATAATCCTCAAGACAACTACGGTGGTATGTATGTCCACAGACGAGTATGGTAAATGGTTTTTTAAGTTTGTACAAAAAAAGATCTTCTTTATACCTTGAGCATGGATCTAGTTCTGGAACTTCAATGCCTTTTGCAATAATATCCAGAGAGCTATTCTTAAGAATATTCAATGTGAGAGTTTTGAGACATGAAATATTTTGGGGGTTCGGGTTAGTAGACATATTCAAAGATAAAGTTTTGCAGGATTGAAAGAATTAATATACGTTATAGACAGATAAGTATTTGCAATTTTCTTTATACTTAGCTTGTTTTTATACATTAACACCCTCACGACTAATAAACCTAATTTGCAGATTTCATTAAACTAATTTCGGGTTTGATGATCTGTTCATTCACAAATTATTTAGTATGGGCCAGGATCGCTCGATCTATTGGCAATCATGAATGATTAGTGAAGAAAAGGGGGTATACACTTTATAAATTTTTATTTCACTTCGACACCGCCAATTATAAGAAAAAAAATATTAATATAAAAATATCTCTCTCAATTGTGATCTCAAGAATAGTATTAGGAAAACAGTGAACAACTTGAGTTTTACGTACATGAGGGCCTAGCGAAAATTCTCTAGACTAGCAACATTCACGTCACTACCCTGGACCCATCTTCTGGCATTTATTTCTGAATTTTAGCTAACATTGCATCAATTTCAGCTGACATTGAATCTATTTCTATTGTCTGAGATGGTTAAGAACCCTGCGTTTGGGGTTTTGGACTGTCGCTTATCTCTGGTTCGGAGTCAGACTCTTCTGATTCTGTATCACCTATAGCGTAATTATCACCTGCATCGAGGTGGTCTGATTCTTGCCTCATTGCGATTCTTGAAAGCAGTTTAAGATGTTGGGGTGTTGGTTTCTTACCACTATGGATTCTGGAAGCGTGTTTACTTCTATAATCTCTTAATTTTTTAGGTATGGTTCTATAAGGTTCTTGTTTTAAAAACTCGTTAAATGGCCAAGCATTATGTGTTTCATTTCTAGTAAAGACAAAGTCAGATAACTTTTTAACCTTAATTGCATCTTGAATCCAAGTAAGCAATTCCCTTGCGCGTTCCGGGTTCTTCTCCATAGAAAGAAATAGTCGGGGCTCGAGATTCTTTTTCTTTTCTCCTCTACTTTTTAAATAGCCCGTACAGTACCAAGAATAACCTTCTTTATACCATACTGGAGCATTCAAAGGATCTGGTTCATAGTGAATAATTTGAAGAGATCTTACTTCTGCAGATCTCATACTCAACATCACAATTATATCTGCGAGATCTTCTTTAGATAGAATTTTAAAAACATCCATATTCTGAATCCTTTAAGCACTCTTGCTGATGAGAAGTGTATTGGAATTCTATCCGGATTAGCCATTCGTTTTTTAGTTTGTTTTTTCTGAATTTTATTAGACTCTTGAATAAGTTTTGGATCTTTGGCATAGGTAGTAATAATTTTGGGACTTACTCCACCTTCTACTAATTTCACATGAAATTGCGACTAGCATGAACCACTGGTGACTATTTCATTTTCATAATCATTTTTTGGACCTAAATCTAAATGATGGGTGAAAATATCCATAGCATCGCCGATTTTAGCGCAATATTTTGCCCTTTCCTCTATGGTGAGTTTTCTTTTTCTCTTATCTGGTAAGAGAGCCTCTATCTGCTCTTCACTAAATGAGCGTCTGTTATTAGTACCTCTGGCAAGAGCGACTTTAACACACCTGCGAGCCATCCAATCAGGAAGTAATACATCGAGTTTGGGAGCATGTTTATTTAATTGTTCTGGAGTATAGTCGGCTGTCAGATTATGCTTTTCTAGGAACTGCTCTAAGACCAATACAAAGTTATTAACTTTAGGTTTTCGGGTCTTTGGGGTAGCTGTTTTCGTAGCCATGTCAGTAGTAAGTGTTATCTAGTTATATTAATCTAGTTATTTTTTAATTCAAAAAAAATAATTAATAGTTTGGGATTTTATTTTCCCTAATTGTAAAGAACCCTCTTATCCAAATACCTCACTTGTAAACCGGCTTCTTATTCACTCTTTACCAAAGCATACCGTTTTCCTGGAGTATGCTTATATTTTTTTGCTACTCCTCATCGGTATTGAGCCAGGAGGATGTGGTTCCCTTATCTTCAAGGTCACAACAGATTATTTCTTCTTCTATCAATCTTTCCAACACTGACATGTCCATATATTCTTTAGGGTCTTCTTCCCCCTCTTTTGCATAACCGCACGTCCGAGCGTCAGTTTTCATTCTATTCCGGAATGCAATGGAGTTGAGCCTGTCCTTTTCTGTAATAGTTACAAATATATCAGGATCCTTACCAAGTTCGATTGCCCTTTTTCTGAGGCACTCTTCGTGCTGGGCCCTGCTCAAAAGTATGGCAGATAGTACTTCATTGATAGGCTTGGAAGAATCAGTTTCTTTAGAAGGCGCATTTATCACCTTACTGATAGGCTCGATAGATTCAGGAAGCTTGCTAGTTTCGAGCTGGCCCTTTTGAGACCGCTTATTGATTTCTGGCTCAGGTAGGTTAGACGTCTTAGAAGTTTTGGAAGTCCCAGATATTAAAGCAACTGGTGTTTTGGTTTCTTCTACCACATAGTCAAATAGAGTTTGGGTTACGTTGTCCTGTTTATCTACTTTCTTATCTAGGGTTCCTCAAAGTCAAATCGAATCGAATATTTTGTCAATTTGAATTTGATTTGATTTGAAATTTCTGTATTTGAATTTGATTTGATCAAATCAAATTCAAATCAAATCAAATTTATTTGTAATTTTTATTAAGTATTTTCAAATCAAATCGAATATTTTGTCAATTTGAATTTGATTTGATTTGAAATTCCTGTATTTGAATTTGATTTGAGATCAAATATTTGATCAAATCAAATTAAATCAAATCGAATTGCGGAACCCTATTCTTATCACTAGATGAAAGAATTTTTTCTGGTCGAGACGGAGCTGTTTTTGAAGAAGCATTTTCCGGCACATTAAATATTGGTATATCTGTTGTCTCATTTTCGGGTATGTCAGATTGAGGTATGTCAGAGAATTCTTCGATATCACCTACTGTTTCACGTATTTTAGCTACGATTTTGGAGTAGTCAAGAATATATACTGTTCCCTTTTTGCACTACTTGCTCGTAATTGTTTGCCCTCAATACCAATATCCGAAAATTTCTTTCTTCCTAGTAATATTATTAGAAAATGGCTTTTCACCATTATTCCTACACCATTCAAGATACTTCTGATATAATGATGTACGACTTGGGCTGGCTACTTTATCCTCACCCCAAGACACAATATAGTCAATTATAAATCGAACAGGATTAGGAAGCTGGTCTCGCATTGTTTCGGTCTTTATTTTGGTTAAAGAAATTTTACGTGACTTCCATTCTGAAAGATTAAGATTAAGCAAATATGCCATAAATGATTCTGCTGTGTCAGGGTGCTCAAAAATTCCTCCTAACTAATCAAAATATGTGAAATTACTTTTACAGCAAGGGGTGACATCTAAACATACAATACGTCCATCTCCCATTTCCACTCGAATTGGGGCATCATGATTACTTAAAATCATAAATCCAGCATAGTGATTACAATCTTGAGATTCAAGGCCTTTACGCTCAATTGAGACATAGTCTTCTGTAATGAGGGCTTTTAAATGATTATTCGCCTTATGCCACTCACAACTAATAATAAGTTTTCGTGCTTGGATGGAGCTATTAAATCGTCCAAGAATCTTTCCAAGTTCAGAGGTCAAAAATACAAGGTCTGGCCTGAATAAGCTTTTTCGAATAAAATTGGTGATAATATTCTTTCCACATTGTGGTGGGGAGCATAAAACAAGAATTGTCCCAGGAATTGTACTTGGATACTGAACTAGGAATGCAAGCCATTTTAGAACATATTCGGAAAGATTTTTATCTCCATTGCACCAGATATTTTCTATATGCCAGACAATTGGTTTTACAAAATCATAATTAATATGGGGTGCCAGCTTGGCCTTGAATCCTAAGAAAAGATTAAAGAATTCAGTTTGGGGTGGATTAACGTTTGGAGGGTATAGTAGAAAATTAACATTATCATAATATATTACACCACTAGTAAGAGCATAATTGATTAAAGATATTAATTTTACCGCCTCACCCCAAGTTCTATTATATTAATTGTAAAGTTTGCAATATCTAGTTTAGGCCCATGTCAAACATAAGTCCACTATTTGGATTCCTATGTTTAAGAATCCATGTTTTGAACACAGGCAATCGTTGCTTGAATCGCTCTGTAGACATCTATACGAGAGAATTTTTTACCTGAAGTACATATTCGCAATAAGTTGCCCCATACAAAGTGATCGTTGGGATCTGAAATTCTGGATCGGTCTAATTTTGTTGGACTTGGAAGCTTTTTTTCTCTATCTAAAGCTGTTTCGTTAATGGTAAGCTTTAACGAAGAGTTTCTTATGCTAGGCTGTTTTTCTTGGTTTGCATGATAACAGAAAAAGCTATAAGATTTTTTATTTCGTATAATATATGCATTATTACTTGTGTGTTCCCGATCACTTAATAGACAATATGATGGAGAAATGCGTGATAATGAAAATTTATCAGTGAAATTTTCTGACAGAAATGAGAGATTATAGCCTTCAATGACGGCCTCTTTAAGTAATGTCTCTACCAACTCAAATTCAGCTTCAGTAGTAATATTACTCATGGTGGGGCATTTTCTTCTGTTTATATTTTCTAAAACATCCAAGAGAGGGCTTTTTATGATTTCTGATTCATCATTGGGTGGGCGAATCATGAAGTCAAAGATTGTTCCATCTTTTGGATGGACAGCTTTTTTTACACGAACATATTCTTTTGTTTCTTCCTTATACTTAGGTGAACCAAGCATTCTTAGAGAAAAAGATCGCTTATTTGTGATATTATCAATTATACCTTTTCTCTCAATCCCAACGGAAGTTTCTTACAAACATGTTTAGTGAACGTGGCAACCTGAGCGATATTTTTTAGCCTCATACCAGAAGTAAAAATGTGGAGAGATATTTTTTCGCATCACTACTAGTAGTGATGGTTATACTTTTTTTATCCCACTCCGGATATATTTCTAGACAAACATCCCTAAAAGCTATTTGAATAGCTTTACAGGCTTCTTTGCGCGAAACCTTAGAAGTAATAGCATTTAGTGTTTCTATTGGCAAATCGAAATCTATGATAGGACGAAGTGGCTCATCGCCATCAATAAATTCATACAACGAATGGCCTTCATAGTCTGAAAGTATGGCTTCTATTCCATCCTCATTATTAGCTCCAAGGAATTGTCTCAGTCTAATACTATCATCACGAATTTTATATAGGCATTGACCTATATCAGAAGCTCTTAACCCACAATAGTATGGGGCAGGGCCGTCTAAATTCTCTAAAAGCTCGGATTGGGTCATTTTTTATCAAGCAATTTAAAGTAATTTATAGTTATACCAAATCTCAAGGTATATTATTCGTAAGAAAAAAGTTTAAAATAAAATTAATTCCTCAAGATTATTAATCAATATACGCAAATGGCATTTTATAATTGTTCATATATCCTTGGAACTGGAAAAGTGTATAATCGGGGATGCTATCATCCAAAGGGATGTAAAATCCATCAGAATTCTAGACAAGTTCTTTGCAAACAACCCGGGTGCAGTAAATGAACTAATTCTATATATGATTTTTGCGATAATTATGCAAAAAAACATAGAGCGAAGGAATACTACCAATGAAAAAAGCTGGCTAAGCTAGCTAATAGGTTTACATAGTGAACCCCACTCAAATAGTTTCAGGTATATTAGGATGTAAAATAGGCCAGATTTTTTGTTGTCACAAGTGTCACAAGTTAGAATTCGAACTTGTGACGCAAACGATAGGCTCTTTAAGAATCCTAGGCCAAAAGAAAGCTTTCTCAATGGGTGTCACAGGTGTTACAGGTATCACAGGAGAAATCGGCTCAAAGTTTCTAACTTTTTTTATTTTTTATAGCATACTACACATATATCCCAAAGGGTACCATAGAAAAAAATTAATTTTTTCTCTAGAATTTATTACTCTTTTACTTGTGACACTTGTAATACTAATCAAAAAAGAAATAAGATAGCCTAATAATCTCAAGAAAGATAACAAACCTGTCACAGGTTCTGTCACAGGTTCGTATACTAACTTGTGCCACTTGTGACACTCAAAAAATTAGCATACTTATTGCCTCAACCACAACTATGCGAGAAAGGGTTCTAGAAACCTAAAACATAGCATAGATCTGGTACTACGTCAAGGTAGAATAATATATAGGAAAGAGATAAGAAATTTTTGCTTTGGTGTAGTATCGGCAATAGGAAAGAAAAGGCTCAGGAAGATGGAAAGGCTCAGAAAAATATGAGAAAAAAGGTATGAAAACTGTATAGCTAGAACTAATTCGGCACTTCGTGCCTTATTCTAGGCAATCGAACAAACTAAAAACATGTGAAACTAGGTTACCAAAGTTTCACATACTCATTGCCTCGACTAGCACAAGCGTATTTAAACTATGATCGGGCCTCAGAAGAGCTTACAACATCCCACCAATATACCTTGAAAACATCATAAGCATAATACCTTTGGTTTTGCTCTTGGTGACAGGGAAGTATCCAGAACCCAAGGCGCAGTAAATTCGGTTAATTATGGTTAGCACTATTATATAATTTTGGCCAGAACTTTTAATACAATAACTTGGTACCCAAATCGGCATAAAAGTAATCTAGAACTGGTGAACTAATAGAACTTTTCTAGTTCTCTGCTAGTGCCACGATAGTTCTAAACACTATCGGGTCACTACTATAGTGCCAAGTTGGATCCTCAAAATACGTGTTCTAAAGATCAGCCAGAATTATGCTATAGTGCCAGGCAAATATAAACACAGATTTACTGCGCTACCTGACACAATATTTTTTTACCATATTCTGATATTTTGACAGGCAACTGAATAGGCGCAAAAAGGTAAGCACCTCAATATAGAATCTGGCCAAGACGGCATCTAAGATGGTATCCAAACAGGCCAGAAAAGGTAGAATCATGCTTCTTCTCTTCTAATTAGTCAGGCAACCTGGAAAAGAGAAACTATGTAACCGGCCACATACCTGAGGACGGTATTACAGAAAATAATCTACTTGGGACGGACATAATCTACTTGGAACGGACATAATCTAATATAAAATTCTAGACTATATCGTCCTAACTAGATAACATTATAAATTCTAGACTATATCGTCCTAACTAGATAATATTATAAATTCTAGACTATACCGCCCTAACTAGATAACATTATAATGCAACTGGATAACAGTCTTATAAGACTGTTATCCAGTAAAATCACTATCAGGGATACTAGTGTCACAGGCAGTATAAATCGTGACCACACAAAACGTGACTCAAATGATGATAGGGACCTGGATCGATGCACGATCAATGATCGTGCATACAATGACGATGCCCCCGGATTTTGGCATTCACAATTAAACCAAAATTGGGTGAAACCCGCATATTTGGGCCCATACAATCACACGATTCATAGACGAGGTGTATCACCGAATCGAGAGATGATAATGAAGTTTCAAAATAGCAGATCTGGGCAGGTTTGTGTTAAAGAAAGAAAAGGCAGGTTAATAAAAGTAGAATAGTTAAAAATAGAAAACGTAGAAGTAATTTAC